TCCAATTAGTTCCATCTTTGTTCTTTCAGTATTTTTCCCAGCGTGTCTCTTGTACTCCAACTGACTCCCACGGTCATTCTTCAAGGTCTACTCTGCCGTCGCTCTACCTACAGCTATATTATTGAAAATGACTGAGCAACAGAAGATGGATAAATGGATGGGTCATGACATGATTAAATGGCTGAGGCTGCGTCATCATAGAATCACCCTTTTCAGTTAGTTTCCTGTCCGATTGCATCATGTAGTTGGATGCAACAGGTATCCAACAACCACCGCTCTAGACCAACAGCTCCATGTCTCAGTGGAGATCAAACTGTTCCCTCGGGGGTGTAGCTGGTGGACTAGTTATCATGTTTCAGGCGTAAAGAGATCGGGTTTGGATCAACCGGTTAGACGTCGCTCCTGTTGCAGCACTGTTGCTTCACCTGGTCTTTGACCAACACTCACCTGAGTCTCATCCCTGTGTGACCAGGAGCTGCTCAGACAACACACAACACCAGCCAGGGGTTTTAGTGAAACAACAAACATCTGTGCGTTTACACTCACGTACTCACCAGATAATCCATGTACCAACGTTGACCAGTCACAGCAGCACGAACTGATTTCGCAGAAAGACGCCGTCGTTCTTTGCTTGACTGACACGACGCTTTGTATTCCCCGCCTTTGGACAGCCACAGCAAAATAGAAAAACAGCCTCTGGTCCGTTTACGAGCAGGGTTTTTTCTTCTCCGTCTTCTTTGTCAGTGTAACACGCTTCGGTTAAGCGGGGAGCAGAGACTGTTACACACAACGAGGGTGGCCCCGTTTCCGTGTTTCTGTCCTGGACACAAAGCCCCTCTGTCCACCGGTAGTGTAGCTTTTTCACCACAATATCAGTGGAATCTGTTTGGTTGAGGAAACTAGCGAAGCCTACGTCGCTTACGTCGACTAGGTCACGTAGCGTGGTCACGTGACCAAACACATGGAGGCAGAGTGCCAGTGGGCGGGAACAAAACTTTTATTTTGAAAAACATTCTTCTTTAGGCCTCCAAGTCTTCTTCGTCATTAAATTAAAATTTCGAATTGTCATATTTTACATAAGACAATTGATCCTCAGGGGAGAGATAAGCCGAAGTTTATACATATTTTAAAAGTAACAAAATAACAATAACATAATTAGATAATTGTACAAATAATATCAAATAGTAACCGCATACCTCTTATCTTTGTGGGTAAAAGAGTTTCCGTATTGTAAACTGTGACAGACAAATATTTACAAATATACCCAGTAGGTGGCTGTATTGCAACTTTTTAAATTTATCTATTTTATTTTACTTTTTTTTTTACAAATATACTCATTCATAAAAACAAGAAAATAAAAAGGACACTTTTACTGAACAATAATGGCATTACAAAATAAAAGCGTTTGCTCCAGCTCACCTCTGCCGCCCAGAACAGAAGTACACCGCAGAAATAATGAATGAAATAACATTAGTATAAAAGCAGTATAAAAAAGCACAATAACAACCTCATTGAGAAATACTGTGTGAAGGGTCAAACGTAGAGCATGCCATTAAATCTTATCATTAGTAGACCTTCAATTCATAATCTCTAATTGACTTTCTAAGGAAGGGGACTTTGCAACTTTTATCGGTATGTGTAGATAAGCCAGGGTGAATGGTCAGATGCAGCTGTGCCAGTGTTGAGAGGAAAAAACACCTTTTGAAATATTACATTTGATATAAAATTTAGTCTAAAAGTTAGACTGCAGATAACCATAAACACGAGTTTAAAATATAATATTGCATGAATATATTATACATAGAATTACATCTTTTCCGACCGCTAAGGGCAACAGTTATATTTAAACCACACAATACATAATACATGAAAGAGGATGTTGTGCTACGTAAGTACTGTACACAGTCCACGTGGGAAACTCCCTTCCTTAAGCTGAGTCTTAGCCTCACGGACAGTGTGGCGTTAGGGGGGATTTATGTCCATCTTTGTGATTCATAAAATACAATCAAACAAAAATAAATACAACTTGCACTAAAAACGGTGTCGGGTGAAGTATTGCTACTGTATATGGCATACTCCAGAACAATGTAAACACTCGTTATGGGCCTCCATGACAGATTGCGTGTTTGCACAGAAAACTCTTTGACAACTGAACAAGATTAATTCAGTTCAGAAGTAAGCAGAGCACAATGAGACAATGTAAATACTGAGACCTGTGCCGTTCTGACTAGAGGAAGAGTATAAATCACAAGACTGTATACTGCAGTAGCTCCTGCTCCCTGGACAGACCACTGCTCTTCAATATTTCATGTGCTGCTCGGTAAAAGGAAATCTCCAGGAACAGAAGAGGATGTCGCCAGCACGGTTTTACAGACACTGCTGGAATGATTCCAGGAAGAAAGTGTGGTATTTAAATTATTTCTGGCCGTTGTGCCGTGTAGACAAACAGAAGAGCAGTGGTCTCTAGTGGCCGAAAAGAATATGGCAGTCTTTTTTTTTGTTTTGTTTTGTTTTTTTGTTTTTTTTTGTTTGTTTTTTGCTTTTACATTTATAACATTTTCAGAAATCGTGATTTACCACCTTAAGGATATATATTAAGCGATGTATATTAAGGGAAACAGAAATATATTATAGTTCCAATATGAATAAAGAACAAGGTAAACAAAGATTAATTAAGCCACAAATAAGGCAAATGTATAAAGGAAGTAGTAATAGTCTCTTAATAATAATAATCTACATTTCAGAGTTAAATAATATATCATTCTCTTATTATTGTATCTCATCATTATTTTGTATCATCTTACGAACCCTATTTTGGAAATTATATAAGTCTGTCACCATGGTCAATAAATAAGTGACGTAAAAGACCAATAGCTGGTCGTGGTTTTTGATGCCGGCAGGGATTTGTTTGCCGTAATTTACCGCCTTCTTGAACAGACTCATTAACTAGTTCAGTAGCTTGAGCGCCAATAATCGCTCCACCGAGAAAAAAGTCTCAATATCAGCCACATGGGGGGAGTATATACCACAGTAAAGAAAAACACACGAAAGGTTTGGGTGTGGAACTTTATTACAACCAGATAAACTGATATTAGTACGAAATAAATGTTTAAAAGATAATAACATTTAAGTAATTGGTTACGTTTTTTATGACCGAATATTGCAACTCAGGAGAAAAAATAAATGTTTGTGAGAATAAAACCATGTCTTATGTAAGTGGTGGTTATGACGTCAGGAAGCCACAATGTGGGTTTTTAATGTGACTGTGAGCAATGGAGCTGTTTTACACACTGCCCAATTAGTACATCACCATGCATGGCTAAATTATACCATATATGGTCATATTTAACTCCAGTTCAGTTCTTTTTGTTTCCTTTTCTAATTGAATTTCCTCTATGTATGGAAATTCAGCAAGGGAGAACGCAGGGCATTGAAACAAGACCAAATATCAGTTGAAAGCCCCTAGGGTTGTTTCAACACAAACATGATACATAATGACAACACTCAATTTCATTACTCTGCATTTTAGCTCATGTTTTGATTTAGTCGCGTCTCGGCCAGACTGTGTCTGTATTTTTGGTATTTCAATCTCTATAGCAGTTTTTCCGAACATTAACATTACTTACGAAAACTTTGCTTTTTCATATTTTTGTCTAAGCTTTTTTACAGTAGGTGCTAATATCTGTCTCTTTTGTGCTATTGCTAGTAAATGTGTTTCTCATTCAGCTTTTACTTTTAACAAAGTTTTAGCTTTTTACAGTGTCTTGACTAATATATATCAAAATAGTTTTCGTCATTGTTCATCATTGTTTACTGCAGTGTATTTTTCTTAATCTGTTTTTTCCCAGGCTATTTCTATATGTACAGTGTATATATATATATATATATATTCTGTGTTTGTAGTATTATTGTGAATTGTTGACTTTGTTGCTTAAGTTTAACATAAATAAACAGTGACTTTTTTTATCTACCAGTCAGTTCTATTTTGGGATTTATGAGCAGCTCAGCATGATGTCATTGTTTTTATACAGCATTCCTTTAAAGTGAGAGAGCTCACACACATTTGGCCTGAGTTCACGTAGGCCTAAGTATGTCATTTGTTTTGTTAACTCAAAATACCAGGTTCACAGACTCTGGACTATTTGTCTCATTTGCACAAAGAAAGGCATAAATGCATCACCACCCAATGCCTGATCTTTATGGAAGTCAATGTCAACAAATGGATTTGCTTGAGTAAGCTAGAGGAAGTTTCAGCTTTCATTCAAACTTCTATCTGTTTGAAGCTCCTGGGGCATTTAGGTGTTACAGAACCTTCAGCAACATCGACTGACACTGTATACTTTGGAAAGTACTCAGACTCTCCCAACCCGCAACTGATGTCATCTAAAAAAAAAAATCTTGCTTTTGCAATGTCAGTAACATTGTGAATGACGCCACAAGGGTGTTAGCCTTCACAGTCCACAACGTGCAGACTCTTCAGACTTGATAAAAACCAACCACAGAAACACATGAGACAAATTCTCTTTGAAATGATAACCACAACACCACGACAATGATAACATTAACTCCTTCACACACCAAGAAAAACGTGAATAGAAAGTGCTTGAAATCTATTCTTGTATCCTAACATTATGACAGGCTATTGACATTGAGAATAAAATTTTATTTTTCAGAATCTCACATTTCTTATCCTTTTCCTTAATTGGTCTGATCTTAAAATAATGTCTCTAATTTTGAGAGTAGTACGACAAAGTCAGTATGATACCTTCTAATATTTTTTATATTACGCCCATACGACATTAAAGTTCTTGAACATTTCTAACAGTTGTTATATTGAAGAAAGAACCCATAATTATGAATAAAATCCTGTAATAAACACTAAATATAATGTATGTAGTACCATTTGTTTTAGTCTGGAGTTACAGTAGCAGTTGTAGGTGGTTGATTATTTCCGTCTGACCAGATTGCGGCATCTTGTTGCTCCACCCTCGACTAGCCGTCCTGGTTGACATGCAGTTGCTGTGCAGCGTGTGAGAGCAGAAGCTGCTCCAGCTCCAGGTCTGTTAACAGTGAGGCTGCAGCAGGACCCACGGTCAGCAGCGCTGTTGAGGCGGAAAATCATCTGCGCTTCGGTTGTTCACCACAGCAACATTCGCACCGCAGTTTCCTCTCAGCGTCCATCAGAAAGAATAACAGCAGCGCGAGGGGGAATACAACAGGGCTTTCTGCCGGACCGTGGGAAGTTTGTTGGCGGAGTTTCGAGAGTAGTTTCTGAGTGAGTTAGGCGAGTTGGCCAGCCTCACTGCTGCCCGCAGCTCTTCCTCCCCTGACCCGGTCACAGTAAGTTCGCCCGCTGTCCTGCTCCCTCTCTCCAGCTGTGGTGAAATCATGGCGCTCAGAGCCAAGGCGCTGTACGACTTCAGCTCTGAAAACCCCGGAGAGGTGTCCGTGAAGGAGAACGAGATAGTAACTTTGTACAGTGAGCAGGACGTCGAGGGCTGGTTAGAAGGAGAGAACAGCAAAGGGGAGCGGGGTCTGTTCCCTGCGTCCTACGTGGAAATCCTCAGGAACGACGCCGCCTCCACCTTCAACAACAACAGCTGCAGCACATCTGGGGACAGTTACCCGGACTCCAGATACTCCAACATCCCTCCAGGAGGCTTCGACGCATTTGATGCTGCGAATAAAACGGAGAACTTTCCCAAAGCTTCTCCTCCTTCTCTCAGCACATTCACTGCTCCGGCACAACAGCAGAATCGGCAGCATCCACAGCAGCAGAACACGTACCAGGCACCGGTTCAGATGAGCGATGATGACTGGGACGACGACTGGGACGACAACTCCACTGTAGCAGATGAGCCTGGAAGTGTTGGGGGACGGTATCGTGACTTTGACGCCAACGGTCCGTCCACTTACAGAGTGTCAACGTCTTCAATGTCCAGAGGGAACTCTCAGCAGCCCAAGAGCTCGGCCACAGTCAGCAGAAACCTGAACAGGTTCTCCACCTTCGTCAAGTCAGGAGGAGAGGCGTTTGTGCTGGGAGAGGCAGCAGGGTTCGTGAAGGACGGTGATAAGATCTGTGTGGTCATAAATCAATATGGACCAGAGTGGCAGGAGAACCCATATCCCTTTACCTGTACCATCGATGACCCCACCAAACAGACCAAGTTCAAAGGCATGAAGAGCTACATCTCCTACAAGCTGACACCCACCCACACGCAAAACCAGGTGAACAGGAGGTATAAGCACTTCGACTGGCTTTATGCCCGGCTGGTGGAGAAGTTCCCCGTCATTTCAGTGCCACACATCCCCGAGAAGCAGGCTACGGGTCGCTTCGAGGAGGACTTCATTTCCAAAAGGCGGAAAGGCCTCGTATGGTGGATGAACCACATGACCAGTCACCCGGTTCTGTCCAAGTGTGATGTTTTCCAGCACTTCCTCGCCTGCACTGACGAGAAAGCCTGGAAGCAAGGTAAGAGGAAGGCAGAGAAGGACGAGATGGTTGGGGCTAACTTCTTCCTCACCATCAGCACCCCTGCAGCTCCACTGGACTTCCAGGAGGTGGAGAGCAAAATTGACGGCTTCAAGACTTTCACCAAGAAGATGGACGACAGCACCCTGCAGCTCAATGCCACGGTCAATGAGTTTGCCCGCAAGCAGATCAGTGGTTTTAGGAAGGAGTATCATAAAGTGGGCATCTCTTTCAAGGTCCTCAGCCAGGCCTTTGAAATGGACCAGCAGGTGTATTCTGCAGGACTTAACCAGGCGATCGCCTTCACTGGAGACGCGTATGAAGCCATTGGAGAGTGTTTTGCTGAGCAGCCCAGTAAGGATCTGGACCCTATCATGGATTTGATCGCTCTTTACCAAGGACACCTGGCAAACTACCCAGACATCATCCATGTCCAGAAAGGTAAAGTCTTATCAGACACTTGTCTACAAAATGAAATGTTTATATTAAATTACCATGATCCAAAATCCATATTAAAATTCAGATGTTATTATTAATAATATATTATTAATATAAATATATCAGTTAATGTCACTGTGGTGCTTTATAACATGGGTTTTTAATTTTAATCTTTAATTAAGTATTGGTTAGTGAAAAACTTGAACTTAGGAAAGGCAATTTCAAGAGGTTCAAAAGTAAAGCACCATATACAATTATGAACATTTTCATTTGTTAGATGTGATGGCCGTCAAATTGAATGTAACTTTGCATATCAAAAGAGCAGTATCAACATAGGAGAAGTAGTTCACACCCATTCCCTTTTTTTTTCATTTCGGTAAGTCTAATAGACACCTTGGGTAAAACAGTTTTATTTAATGAATAACTAATGGTTAACAGGTAGTGAACATAGCTGTGTTATATATTATTATCTACATTTTTTACAGTAGTCTCTTGATTAATCGCAATCCACGACTTTCATACCACATATTAAGGTGTTAAGGTGAGTTTTGCTCTCAATAAAATAGATAAGGATAAAGTCGGTTCCATACAGTAGCTGTTAGCACGTCTGCCTCGGAAGCAGAGAGCAGAGTCCTGGGTTCGATTCCCAGAGGAACCACATGCTTGGCGCTTGCTTGGGGCAGCCTGTTAACAGCATATCTGCTGCTAACACAACAATTTGCCAAATATGGGGTCAATGTAGTACAAATGTATTTATTATTTTATTTTATAACTAAGTAACTTTTCCATCCTGAAATGAAGATATACTGTATTTTAAAAAAAATTAAACACTTAAACACAAGTACAGATTAGAGCTAGATCAGCTGTTGTTGAGACCACAAACTGTTTAAAAAAAAAGACAGAGCTACATTGTTACAGAAAAGTGAACTTGTTGACTGTTAGGCAACAGGACGTGAATTTTCTAAAATAAGACATTTCGCCTCTCTTTCAAGAGGCTTCTTCAGTTCTAACAGGTGGTGGGGAGTAGAATTGTTGTTTTTTTTTAGAAAATTCACATCCAATTGCCTAACAGAACTCTTCAACCTTGACCATGACCTGGATGACTGAGAATCTTCATAGACAGGGCAGACGGTGTTTAGGCTCCAGTTGGGAACACATTTTCAATCAGGACATTGGCTGAGTGCTGCCTAAATGAGGTGGCACAGACAAAACAGAGAAGACCAACCTGATTCCTCTGATGAAAAACTGTCACTGTATGAATACAGGAAGTTTGTGCAGTGAAACCCCTCCCTGCCCCCAACAGAAACCACCAGATTGAAGTAGAGACACTTTCAATCACAAAATACTTTGATCAAATCTGTGAAACAAACCACAGGTTTTATTTATTTCTTGTTTTAGAAAAAATAAACAGACAAAAATAGAAATTTACTCAGAAACTTCCTATTTCACTATGTCATCTATGACTAACTCCATCTTTGAGTGGTAATTATGCTTTCAGAGTGATTCATAAATAAATGATTACCAGCCAAAGAGAATCACCTTAGGTTAAAAGAGGTTAAAAATGTTTTAAATAAAAACTGATTGTTAACAGTTTTGTGGCTAAATTAGGGCTAACAGATTAGCCACTAGCTAGTTAGCCAGAGATTAGCTTTTAGATGGACACCCTTAACCCAAACATCTGTGATGTTAGACAACGGAACCAATAACAGATCCAAGGCCAGTTATATGTGTCTTCATTTGCAAAATTTAAACACATTTAACTAGCTACACTGACTTTTGCTTTGAACAGGAAGTTAACCAAACAATACTTCGGGATGAGGTATATCTTAACCACTTCTTTACACTTGAAGGAAAACCAACCAGGCAGTAAGAATAAAATCATAATTTCAAACTCTGGTCTGGGCTGTGTCTGGAGGTTGTCGATCATATCTCGTCTCTGTGAGGCCCATTTATTTGTTACATTGCGGCTTCAGAGTGCACACAGGTTTAAAAATTGTCCCAGCAAATGTGAGCTTTCCCCTATTGATTTTCACGTCCACCGGCCCCCTGTTAGTCATCACAGTGCTGCTCCTCTCTGATTATATCGGACTTTGGTTCTGAAACATGATATTTTGTCGTTGAGCACTAATCTGTTTTTATAGCCTTTATTTTGGCTCTTGTTAAAGGAAAGGGAAACTGGGACCTGAACTGCAAATGTTTAACCACGGACAATCTTTCAGGGAAAAAATGTATTTTTGTTTTTAGAAAATTCATCCTAAAATTAATCAATCCAAATCAGAAATACTTTATTGATCACTGGGGGTGCTACAGTGGCCCCTGCAAGAGCAATTTAGTACAAGAGAAATTAACGAAAGAAAGTATCAGAAGTAAAATAAATATATATATATATATATATATATACAAAAAAGAAGTTTAACAGCAATTAAAATGTAACATGAGAACTTGGTAGTAGGTCAGGGGTGCCACCACTGTTTGGGCTTGGGAGCTACTAGTCAGATGACAGAGATCTATCTACACTGTAGTGTTTCCCAAACTTCTTTTCTGGGGACCCATATTTTAAAAGTCAGAAACCTTCACGACCCAAGTCAATAGACATTATTTGTAAACTCACCCCAAAAACCCCCCAAAAATCTCTTGCGACCCACCTGAGGGTCGTAACCCAGTCTTTGGAAAACAATGAGTGTAGATCATTATATATATATTATATATATATATAGGTTACTTAATGCTTAAATGCATGTAGCCTTTACGGAACAATACAATTAAATTCTTACACTATATGGTCACTACCACACATTATTTAAAAAAACAAACATTTATTTTAATACCATCACTCCTGCTGCGACCTACTGATAGAACACAATCGTCTCATCAGGCACCACTGAAGTAGAGCTACATCTGCCACATCAGCAAACAGGAGTGTCCTCACAGTCATGTGTTTGAGTTTCTGTAATACATTTTACCTTAAAGTGACGCCTGCTCACAAATGAATAAAACATTAAGTTGAAATGTATTTTGGCTCAGCTCCAACGAGCGTCTTCTTATGACCTCGTTAAGGAGTCACCTTTTTAAACCTCTTTTAATTTTCATCTATTTGGCGCCTGACTAAGAGCAGCGTTTTCACAGACCACCGTTTTTTATCACTTTCTCTCAGCTGACATCGGAGACCAGAGGGTGTGTCATATATTTTCAATCCAGGTTGAGGTCAAGTAGTGATGATGAGGATGGATATTAGTGTCCTTGTTTAGGTCACTGAAGCTCAGCGTTGTGTAACCAGAGATTGCATAAGCTCTATTGTGTGTGTCTCCACGCAGCCCAGGAGAAATCACTGCCACCTACATGCACCGGCGCAGGCAGGGTTTCTTTATGTTCACCGTCTTATTTATAGCCCAGTGTGACATGAAACTCATTAAGAAGCCTTGGTGAATCAGCAGGTCTTTATGTCGAGTTTTCTCTGGGATCGCTATCATAAAAAATTCTGCTAGTGACACAGTGGAAAGTAAAGCCAGGGAGCAATGTTTCCAGAAGCGAAACAGAAGAAACAAGGCAGCACTATTCTTAGAAAAACAACATGACATTAATGGGGTTTTTTTTTATTTCAACCCCAAATAATTCAGAGCAGTTTTGTTTACTTGAAGAAGACCAAAATGATTTTCTGATATTTTTGTCTATATTTTTCCTTTTCAGGGCAGTGACCTTGTCATGGAGCGTCATAACTATTGCCAATAGTTTTTCTAATTGCAGCAATGACACTAAAAGCTTAAATGTTGATCCTTGGATTACACTAAACAGACATGGTGGACAAATTCAAGCAGTTGCTTCAAGTCTAACATAATCGGAGCGTTGATTATCAATACATGGTGCAAGTATCCCCTCTAATCTTGTGCTGGCAATCTGATTTTTAAACATCATTGGTAAAAAAAAAAAAAAAAGGCAGTGAAAACAGTAGCTTTAAAATACTGCGGTTTTGGCTTCAAACCAGAACTGTTGAAGAGAAAAAAAATATTAACACTACAAAAGTCCTGCAGCAATGGTTGTGGTTTTACGATGGGATTTATTCACCAGTTGTAGTGCTACTTTATTGTGCAGTGTGTAGTTGACTGATAAATAGGCCAATTATCAAAATAGGAATGAATTATCTTCTTTGTTTAGTGGACGTAGCTCAATTGGGATGCTGTATTCAATGCATTCAAAGTTGTTAATAAAGGTGGTATTAGGTGAGACAAATAATTTTGGACACATTATGAGGTCTAAAAACGCTGTCGTCGACATGGAACTAGGGCCTTGAGCAGTTAAGACTATCAAGGTTTAATCAAATATATTTAGGTGATTATCTTTACAGACAACACTTTTATATAAATTGTCAAAAAAGCTTAGCATGTTTAGTATTTGCTATCTTTCTCTTTTTTTAATTAAATTTATTCAGTTTCAGTTGAAAGCGCTGCCAGTTCAGCTAATTGAATATTAAATTTTAGTTGACACTTCAGCTTTTTCTCTTATGGGTTTTGGCTTTAAGGAATGGAAAGAATGACTCAGAGGCTGAACACAAATGTTAATGTGGTTCCCTGTTTGCTATACACCCAGAAGCTTACATGCGGCTTTGAAAATGGTGTGGCAAGAGTTTGCTGTGGTTGAAGACATGTCTTATGTTTTATATCGAGTCATCTTCCTACTTAGTCAGTCAATGGCCTTTGAAATGCACGGTGCCAGAGATGTTAAGGCACAGTAAACACTGTTTGGACTGGTATGTTTTAATCTGTACATGACTGCATTTCCTCACCACTGTCTTTGGCCTCTTTACTGTCATGTGTTGGGAGCATTTCAAAGACGTAGGTTAAACTGCAGCTAGCATGACTGTTTGGTAACAAACAAATTACTGCTGAGGTTTACTCTGGTATTCCTTACTCTTGAGTCAGACCTCCAAATAAGTTCAAATATACACGAAATCCTGGCAAATTATTTACGTAAAGTGACCATTCACATCCTAAAACATTGTGTTTTAAATGTCATTCTCAGCCTGGGAACAGTTGTTGTGTCAGTTGTGGGTTTCCTGTTTGTCAGCCTTAAGACGACCAAATCTGTCACAACCAAATGACGACAGTCAATCTGACAAACTGCGGCCTTCACCTGAAACATATTTGACCTGTGAGCTATTTCAATTAAATAATCAGTTCTATACATTATTGTGAATATAGTGTACTAGAGTCAGAAACTGTAATAATAAGTCCCTCACACGTTGGACTCAGGTTGACCATGTTCAGATCTGGTTTATGTGACACATCCATCATCATTTTGTTTGCTTAAGACTATAAACTCGCAGGCAAATATGCTAGGCATTGCTTTTGAATTACCAAACTGAAACCAACTTCAGCAGAGATAGAAGATGAGTTTAGCACTGCAACATCACATGGTGTTAAACCTATGAGCCATAATAACCTCAGGTTGTATTTTGGAAAACCCTGGCACAGTCATAGAACGGTTGCTCATATTTCCAGGCCCTGATGTACCAACTGTAAATTAAACAAGCCCTGAGGAGGTGCTGGAGGAGGCACTCTCTAATCCTCCCTAATCCTAAATTATTGAATTGATACATTCTCAGGAATGAGGCCACATTAATCCACTTTGAGATTATACCTAAGTGCATGTTAAGCGTATGTCACTGAACACCTGATCTGATCCAAGTGCTTAGCTGCCATGTCTGAACAGGCCTAGAGAGGTCAGAAGTTTTCATATTTGAAAAGTCATATGCTGGATCTGTGGAGTTAATAGGAATGAAAACATTTTAGCTCCTGCTCACAAATCAAAATGATCGACAAGAACCTTTAGAGACATTTAAAGTCCCCGAATGTTCACACTGTTCCCGTCCTCACCTGTGTATTTGTGTGTCATTACCATCTTTGCCCGCAGCTATGACTGGATGCAAATCTCTTTTCGTAGAAGCAGGTAGAATCCTGTCTGCTTTTGTCACATTACCCTTTTTTCCTCCTGGTTCTTTTCAGACATCTATATGTTAATTTAAAGGTTATTTCTTTGGCTTAGCACCAATATGATCAGCGAGCAGCTCATCAGGAAACTTATTTTGCATGGGAGAGTTTATACGGAGCTTTGTTTTTGTGAGCTAAAATTTCCTGTGTGAATCACAGTAGTGTTGCTAAACCAGATATGTGATGGCTAATACTGGAATATTTCTCTGCGTGTAACGTTACAAGCAGTTGCTTAACATAGGAACAGATCAAAACAGATCAGCAACAATTACTTGAGAGGCCTGGGAAACATCCAGAAATTGATATTTTTACTCATTCTCTGATAAAATAATGTGTGGAAAACAGACATAAATAGACATGAGTAGGCCTCTGTTGTGACTTGGCCAGCCCGGGGAGAGTCTGACCAAGTATAGACCGTATACAGAAACTCTTCCAAGTTGGAGCTTTGGAAGAATACTGGAAGTATGGGAAGAAGTTTGCAGAAGTGACATAGTTGTTTATGAGCTAATACCAATTCTCCCTTGACATGGGTGATTTTGAGACTAAATTTGGAGTCAACCACAAGTTCCCAGTGGTTTTTAGAGTGTTGGCCCAGAGCACTTCAGAGGTCGAGGAAAACCACAGAAAATAAAAAGACAGGAGCAGGACAACATCTAAGGTTATTTCTTAAAGCTTGTATGGCTAGTATTTAAAGGAAGTATCTGGACCCATACAGTGGAACCTCCAGATATGAGCATAATCTGTTCCAGGACCGAGCTCATAACTCGAGGTGCTCCAATCTTGAATCATTTTTTTCCTATAAGAAATAACAAAAAAACAAAATTAATCCTTTGCTGCCCTCTAAAAACTCCCTCATTAGTGCTAATAACAATGGAGAAAACATGTTTTTAATTGCTATAGAGACATACACACACGCACACAAAAAATATGGTATATAAGGATTCCTGTGATATAAAATAAAATGTGGTTTTAATTATGAGTTCTTACCTTAGAGACAGACGATACAGTAGAGGCTAATGGAGGCATGTGGGAGGAGGAGGAGGAGGGAGGAAGGGAGTTGGTCCGTACGTAGACACGTTTCTTCTTCTCACCACCATCCTTACCACTCACTTTCTTAGGACTCATCACTATGATGAAGAATAATGCACAAAATACAATACAATACAGAAGACTTGTGGGAGATGAGTACGGAAGTAGACGAACACGTGAAGTGAACGAGTTAAGCGGCGTGGGCTGTTCTGAGAGCTCGGCCACCTAGCGTTGGCGTCTGTAAGCGTGCTGATATCACAAGCCTTTACTCGTATCTTGAAACAAAAATTGGCTCGAAGGCTTGCTCATATCTCCAAATACTAGTATGTCAAGGCGCTCGTATCTCAAGGTTCCACTGTACTAGCATCGGTATTGTTGCATCCCAAGTTGACGTAATAATACTACTGAGATCTTGCACAAGTTTCTCAGTAACATGTACTAGGAAGTTCCGAACAGAAACACATCATCGGCATACAGATCTAAATTCTTGCCTGTGTGTGGTCTTCTCACAGGAGCCCTGACCAAGGTGAAGGAGAGCCAGAAGCACGTGGAGGAGGGGAAGATGGACCCGTCGCAGGCCGAAGGCATCAACGAGCGCTGCAACATCATCTCCTGTGCCACCATGGCTGAGATCCAGCACTTCCACAAGATCAGGGTGCGGGACTTCAAGGCCCAGATGCAGCACTACCTCCAGCAGCAGATCTCCTTCTTTCAGAAAATCACTGGAAAGCTGGAGGAGGCTCTGCAGAAATATGACGACAAGTAAAAGTCACGCAGCCCATCGGTTTAGACCTCGGTCACTGATGTTCATGCACCACTGTCAGAGTCGTCTGGTGGAGTTTTTGGGCGAACAACAGCCAGATTCTGCTAACTTTCAGCTGAAGGCTGTTCGTCCAGCAGAGAGAAGAACTCTCCAGAAAATCACACTCCACTTGGTCTAAACAAAACACCCAACTGGTCAAACAAATAAAGGTGTGATGCCTTTGATTTTTTTATGAATACATTTTACTGGTGGATCAGCTGTGGATTCAGTACATGGAGTATGAACTCATCTTTGTTATGACTTACTACTGAGTGAGTCGTAGAAATCGAACCTTCATCCCCACTGCTGTGTATGCGATGCTGTGGTTTTAGCCTTACTACGCAGTTTTCTTTTTAAGTGACTGATTTCTACTCTACTCTAGGAACAGCTGGGCTCAAGTCCTGGCCAAGACTCGTGCCCTTCCTGGAATATCTTTCTCTTTCTGGACTGAATGTTTACAGTTTTCTCGTTAAACCTCTGCTGTCACCTCTGTCTCGCTGTGCCTTCTGACTCTGTTTCTCTGGTCATTTTTGTTACTATCCACTTTACAAAAAAACTAATCATTGTGTTGTGATACATTTGTTCGACACGTTCCTGATTGTGCTTAGACGTGCTTAGAAAAAATGTTTGCTTTAAGTGAAGGGTTTTGTGAAGTAGTAATTATTATTATAGGGGAAAGAGGAGAATTTCCTGTCCCGACAGCAGGATTCGATGCCTTACACACAGCACAGTCACCACTGGTGCTGATTTGCAGTATGGTTTGATAAGTATAACAGATTGTCGTCTACGTACATGAGCTAAATGTGAAATTGCGTCGACAAAGTGTGGCTTTTTAATGGTTTTTTAAAGGGTAGTGTTGGTGGTGGGCAGACAGGCGCTTCTAAGTTCTGTTTTATCAAAGCTTTGATTTTAACAGCACACTTCCAGAAGGTTCTAATGTACTACTGTTTGGTGATAGTGTTGAATCAGAAAGAGATCTTTGTAGAGGCTGAGATGCAAAATAAATTTCTCCCACAGGGAACACACGTGTGTTTTTCTTAAAAACTTCAAGGCTGTTGTTTGAGGTGTTATTTTGGCTAACTCACCGTCCACAGCTATTGTCTGTATTTTCACCTCCCTTCCCTGTAAACATACAGGAGAAGTTGGTTTAGAGATAAGCATTAACACAGTGGACCTCGCCAACAGACCCAACACTTGCTCTGAATGTTGGGTTGGAAATTAAAGCTGAGGTTTTTATTTTAGCAATATTGAAACGACCATGTTAAAAATACCATATCTGACCAAAGTGAATATGGAAAATAATACCTAACAAATAATTGGTTTCCAAAAGTTTCCAAAAACAGAACTATAAAATTATACTATAAATAAGTACGTATGTAAGACTTCTTTTAGACAACACTGGTGTGTAAACTACACAAGATATTACATGGACATAACATGTATTGTCTCCACTCACTCTTTATCAGCTGTTTTACACTAAATAGGATCATTTCTAAGCTATTCTTGTGTTCTATAAAAAACATGTGAAACTTAATGCTGGTTGTAAATAGAAGACTGTATAGATCAGGGGTGCCTAACCCCTGGTCCAAGGACCAGTACCAGTCCGTAGGTCATTTGATACCAGGCCGCAGTGGGAAACAGTGAAAAAATGTACTTTACTGATTTACTTCCTTCAAAGAAAATCCAATCGTATCAATTTACTTTCTTTACTTAATGGTAATCTGACAATATTTTAAAATAATAGGTCATTCAGACTCTGATACAAACAGAACAGAATCTAAAAGAGGTTTTATTTTGAAAATTTACTGATCCTTCAATCCTCAGTACCTTGGTACTGGTCTGTAGTAACAGGTGGTACTGGCTGATGAGTACTTGGAACAAAAAAGGTCAGTGACCACTGGTATAGATGTAACTACTCCATAACAGACAGATACATGTTTCTGCAATTGATTATTAATTGATTGATTATTAAAACTTTTAATTTCTTAGGTTAAGAAACTCTGCTGCCTGGTCTTTACTAAATGCTTTTAAGGCTCCCGCGGGTCACATAAAAAGTTTTGGTCCTTGAGTTTGACACGTATGCTATATACAGAAACTTGTCCAATTACTTAGTAAATAGTCTGATTATCTCCATAGACTTTCCATTCACAGAGAGTTACTTTTAAAGTAATATACATAGCTGTCAACACTGCTACCTGTTGACAGCTATGTCCATTTCTTATATACAGTCAGTGTGAAGTCTAAATACTCAGAAACCCATGACAAACACTAATGACTAATTAAAGGTGCTGAGATATAGGAGCCGTATTTTGCATGTAACTGAATTGAAAGTAGTTCATGAACATCTGGAACGACGCCAGTGATAGTTATATATTTGCTGACGAGTTAATTTAGAATTTTAATCCTTTTGAGCTGCAGGAGTTTTGTGACCCATTTAACGTTGCTAAGCTCTCGTTAAACAACTTTTAGGTGGAGACAGTACGGTATACTCCACTTTAACTTGTCAGGAACAAGGAGGAGTTTTTTCCTACATACTGTGCTGTACCTTAGGTCAGAGGTCTTCAACAAAGGGTCCGGGACCCTCAGAGGGTCTGTAAAGTTATTGCAAGGGGAATTCTTGGTTAAAAATGTGGTAAATCTTTTTGGGGAAAATGGTAAGCGTTTTAAACATGGGATTGAATTGAATGCAAGATTTGTTTTTTTTTTTTGTTTTTTTTTGGGTCGTCTTGCATTATGTTTCCCAGGAGTTTACGAATAATGTCTATTGACTTGGGTCATGAAGGTTTATGACTTTTAAAATATGCGTCCCCAGAAAAAAAAAAAGTTTGGGAAACACTGGGTTAGGTTATTACACGTTATTCCTTTAAAACTGTTGAAGACCCCCGATTGAGAGGAGTGAGAATTTACATGTAAAACCAAATGGATCTGTTGCCATGTGTGGCTCTCTGGAGAACTGCTGTGCCGTGTCAGTGTCTGGTGTTAAGCCCGTGCTCAGTTCTCAGATCTGCTGACAGCACAGATGCCGGCCAATCATCTGGGACATCTGGCTGCTGTTAAAAGAGCCGGAGCGTACGACAGTGAACACCCGGTGAACAGGAAAAGGTCAAAAACAGCTGAGAGAGGTTTTTTGCCGTCAACACCACCTGTCACCCAGGCAACCAGGATAGAGAAGATTCTTTTTTTTTTAAGATAAGTGGACTCACGAATGTGAAAACCAGTTTGATGATAGAAGATGAGGATCCAGCAGCTCTGTAAATATGCTGATGGTAATTTGTTCTCATCAGATAATTTATGTAGATTTCTGTCCCACGCTGAAACCAAAATACAGACACTTGAACATAAGTTAGCAGAATTTATTCCCATGCAAAAAACAAACAAATTACAGTTAATTTTAAGCAGATCTTAATGGTTACCATTAAATAAACCATATATCCTCTTTTAGAAGGCTTAATGTGTAGTTATTGAAAACATTTTCCTGAGGGCTAATGAAGATGCATTGTTGTTTCAACGGCTTTGAGCTTCTCTGGTGTTGCCCTTTAGTTTTAAACTAAACAAAATGTGGTCACGAAACAAGCACAAATTAACATTTGCCACATATGGTTTTATTGAAGTTTTTATGCAACTACAGCAAATAAAAAAAGGCAATAAAAATAATTAAATACCTCTTTCTTTGTCTTGCGCCTCTTTCATCCTTGCCCCCAGCCATTTGCTAATAAACCTCGAGTCTCGGTAAACAAGGATGAAACAAGTCTGTTGTTCGAGGGAAGGACTCCGGCTGCCTTACATCACACTCTGCTGCTCTTGTGGTGCCAACAAGTACTGTCAGAACAAACTAGAAACAACAGTTAATGTGAACATGCTCAAAATATCATTACAATAGCTATGTAACATCAACATGTTCCTTATGATACACTAAAAGCCTGGTTCACTTATTGAGTACTGCAAGATTGATTTAAGTGACACAATAATTCTTTTGTGTAAATGCATCCAGTAATATACAGTTTATATCGATATACAGTATAGTTTTAGGCGCAGGTTTATGTTTACAGTATCACTTTTTACCGAGGTATTTATGACAATTTGTATTTCTGTTTCTTGACCATGAGGAGGTGGCTACACACAGGTTACTTCCCAGAGGGAGAGCTGAAAAATGCCTTTAAATTGATTTATAATTAGAGTTTATCTTAAATAAAGAGTAATAATTTAATTCACAAAATCCTCCTTTAATACCGCAAAATGTATACATGGATCAGATTGTTCTATCCATTTGCTTTTAATACTTGAAAAAAAAAGGATCTCACAAATATGCTAATGGTAGGAGTTGTCAAAACCAATAAACCATTATTTACAGTTTTAGCGCTAACCTTCTTCAACTGTCAACTTTTACTTTCAAATATCTCTGTGTCAATTTCCATTCCTTTATTGTTTTTTCCGTCACATTTTTTAGTTTTCACTTTTGGCCAAGACCCAACAAAATGCCTTCAGGCCTTTAGCCTTTAGCTGTTTCCTCCCTCTGGCTCTGTGTCACTACTGCCAACGCTAGGAGAAATGGGTGTCCTTGTTTTTGAAACTCATGTTCCTCCTGGCTCTCAGCTTTGGTTTCTTCTAATTAAGTTATGTGTCACATTTTAGCTGGTGAATGTAGGAGTGTTTGTTTCCATGTCAGGAATAAATGTGGAGTTAAACTGACAAGGATCATGTGTAGTTACAGTGGGGCTGGTATAAAGACAGACGATACAGTAGCGGTTAATGGCGGTATGTGCGGAGGAGGCTATGCTGATGGAAGCGACGCTTGCGTGGGCTGCTCCAAGTGCTCGGCCACCTAGCGTCGGTGTCTGTAAGCGTGCTCGTATCTCAAATCTTTACTTGTATCTCGAAGTAAACATTTGCTCAAATGCTTGCTCATATCTTGAAATGTTGAGACGCTCGTATCTCGAGGTTCCACTGCAGAAAAGTTACTCATCATCGTGTTCTTGTTGAAAAACAAAAAAATGTTTCAAAGACTTGAACACTCCAGCTGGCCTTTTGGATCGGGAGCGTCTACAACTTGCTAACCCAAAAGATATTTTATGTTGTACCTTTAACTGACAGGGAATGTCTGCTACCACAGTCCACACATGCAAACATCCAATGTGTTGTTGGTGCAGTGGTGGTGGAAATACCCCTCCAGATGTGGTGGGGGCGTACGATAACACACTGAGCAACACACAAATATAATCACAGAGCCCTGGAAAATATAAACAAGTGAAGGAGTGAGACTCTGTCGTGGGACATTCTGTTTCAGTTGCTAAGAGAAGAAAGATCACGTTTAAAATAACTGGTCGTCGCTGCCCCCGGGGGCACTTGGATCTCTCCCTTTGGATCTTTCAATGGTTCTGGAATTCAATGGATCTGACCCAGAAACATTCTGTCCAACTTGATGAGAATCCCATAATAGGAAGATCTGGTTAATCCTCTTCCCAGCTGCTCAATATTCACATCTCTAGTTCCGCTGGAGCAGCAGGGGTTTTCATACATGTATGACTGGATAGTTGGGTCAATGTATCTGAGTCTCTGTGAGAACAGGGTTTGTTCGCAGTACTCTGATACACTGGCACCGATGCCGCATTTGTTTAGAGTGAATACAAGTCTAAAGATCCTGGTGTAGATTACACTCAGTTCCTGTTCTACCCACCCTTCGTCTGGTTGCTGACTCTCACATCCACACCAACTTCTCTTCCTCCGACTCAGCAGTGGTAACATTATAACGACTCCGCAAGAGAAATCACAACAATGTAACACCGCAGTATATTCCAGAGGTGTGGACTCGAGTCGCATGACTTGGACTCGAGTCAGACTCAAGTCATCAATTTGATGACTTTAGACTCGACTTGACAAAATGTAAAGAGACTTGCAACTCGACTTGGACTTTAACATCAATGACTCGTGACTTCACTTGGACTTGAGCCCTTTGACTCGACAAGACTCGATAATTTCTCCAAAACCCAAAGTGATCTGTGTAAATATATTATTATTTTATTTAAAAGGACTCGAAAGGACTCGAAACAAAAACGGCAGGACTTGGGACTTGACTTGACACTTTTCAGTCTCGACTTGGACTTGACTCGGACTTTGCCTGTCTTGACTTGAGACTTGACTCGGACTTGAGTGCAAAGACTTGAGACTTACCTGTGACTTGCAAAGCAACGACTTGGTCCCACCTTTGGTATATTCAATCTGAAATACTGCAACAACCGTGTCAGTAGTGACTGTAGTTATGCTGTCATGTCTGTGTATTTACAGGGAGAACAACTGTTTCAAAAATTGTGTTCATTGTTTGTAGGTCAATAACAAAAAAAAAGTTTTATTAATTTTATTAATTAAATGTATTTTAACAACATAATTAATCAATTATTATTGACATCTAGTCACGGGCCAGATGTGAGGGA